CACAACCAATTGCTTTAGATTTAATCTTAAGTAAATACTTAAATACTTCACATTCAGTAGTAACTCTGAATTTAAGTTTTGAGGATATGTCTGATTTAACAGAGTCATAATAGTGAAGATTATTTGTATTATTGTTAGCTGCAGCCGAACTTACGAAATAATTATTTATTAAATTCGCATTAGACAATTCAGGTGGTATTTCTATATTAGGTTTTTTATTACAAATATTTAAATAATTAATTTTTTTCCAAGTCTTAGTTGCACTTGATTCCGAAAAACATAAAAAAGCTTTTTTTTCACGTCTGATAGTAGAAGTAGTAAAATTTTTTAAATATTTGAAATTTAGCCAGTCATGTGAAGTTCTAGTTTTTTTAAATTTATTTAATGCCTTATCTTTAAATTTTATCAACTCTTTAATATCATCTGTAATCCAAGGTTTATAGCTTTTGTTGAAAATTCGAGTTTTTAGAGGTGCATGTAAGTCCATTAAAACAGTAATATTTTCGTTAAAAAACCTCACTTTATCATCGATATTATTTAAGTCGAAAATATTATTCCAGGGTATAGATTGTACATGATCGTAAAGCTGGCCTGCATCGACATTTTTTATATCCCGGTAAGTAATAGGATTCATACAAACATTAGAAATCCCCACCCCACTGATAGTCACAAAAATTAACTCATGATCAGCAATTTCATCTACTGTAATATTCCCGTGGTCACTATAACATAACTCATCTGAAAGCAATATAAAATCAATTAATCTACAACATTATAAAAATTAGTTACATCCTTATTAGTTACTATGTCAGCGCTGTTCGCCGCTATTCAGATGACGTGTTTCCTCATCGGTGGATTGGCAGAAGAGGACCTAAGGAACGGCCCGCTAGATCACCAGCTTTAACACCGCTCGACTTTTTTCTTTGGGGTTATGTAAAAAGCAAAATATACGTCAATAAACCAAACAGTATTAACGATCTGAAGGAACGAATTCGGCAAGTAGTTCGAGCGATCCCGCCTGAAGTCATTGGGAATGTACAGCAAGAATTTACTTCCCGTCTGGCCCATTGTTTGGCAGTAAATGGTCAACAATTTGAACATGGTGAACAACACCACTTGAACAACAGGTGTTTCTGGTGATTTGATTCAATTTTTAGTACGTTTAGTATTAATTTGGGTATTGTTGTCCACCCTGTAACAATTAGAAGCAACTTGTGGTATATTTTTGGAATCAGCTCAGTTAGGGCAATCCGAAAATTGGAAAAAAATGGGGTGTTCCATTTTAAAAAAATTGTGATGACGTCATTACTCGAACATAGGTCACCCTGTATATTAAATTATTATTTGAGAAAATAGTAAATTAAATTAAAAAATCGACCTGTTTCGGGAATTTTTAATAATTTCTTTTGTTTACCTAATAATGAATTTGTGCACGACTTTAGGGGGACACTATATATAATTAAAAGTTGATGAACAGAAGCACATGACGAAAAAGCCGAATCGTGTGGGAAACAATTGGATTTTGTTTTCTTCAATGTCCGGAAGGTTTTTCAAAAAAAATAAATCGAAAATATTCAAAGATTTTTTCGAAAATTTTTCGAATTTATTTTTAAGTTGCAACTTCACAGGGTTCTTCTGGGTATATCGAACTGTAAAAGTCATGCTTAACATTAGTCATTTCGTGAATATTTCTAATTTAGCCGTCAATTTTCTAAAAAACCATAAATTACCTTTTTTTGGTTGTTTGTTTTTACGTTTTTATAGAAGACAAGGGAAAATTATTAAAAATTTGTAGGAAAACGGTAAGTGCAATCACAATATACGAATTATTTCTAGTGCAATGTGTAAGAACTTAAAGTTTTGCTGCTGTTTTATTGTAATGTAGTTAAAATTTGGTAAGGTTATGTTTGCACTACTACTTTATTTAGATTTTTTATTATGAATATATTGAGGAACAAAGTTAACATCCGGTATGTGGCTATTATAATATCTGTTCTTTCCATAGAAACTACAAATCCAGGCAAAAAGTATTATTTTTTAATATGAAGTTCTAACAAATTTTCAATTGAAAATGAAAAGAAATATAAATATTTGAGATACTGACATCTTTGATATTCTCTATAAGAAATAAGTTTAGTTTATTTTGAAAACTACTCACCATCCCGTCATCACCAAATTTTTTTGAAGTTTTAGCTATAATTATATGGTAGTGAAAAAGCTATGGCCTCTACATTTTGTTTCGACAAATTCAAATAAGGGCAGATAATACAAATTCTTGTTTTTTGGTTTTAGAGTGTGGATTGTATCAAGCAAAATAAGTTGCAACATAAACTTGGCAACAGCGCACAAGTATGGTGGGTTTATTATTTGTAAGTGGGCAGTGGTATACATTATGTTATGATTGCTATGTAATCGCTCACATAGCTGATTGTTTTAACCTATATAATGTCGGATGAAGAACAAAGTCGGTAGAAAGGAAAATTTGTGACCAAAATGAGTGCTTGACAATTAGAACAGAAAATAGCTAAACCTGGAAAAAAGCTGTTGAAGAGCCAGAACCTCCGCACATCGTTCGAAGGCGTCAACTAATGGACATGGAGTACATGGCACAAAGCATGCATTGCTCTTTTTGCAAAGAACTTTTACTTATTTTAGATTATCTATAAACTGTGATCACGAAGTGATTCGCGTGAAAAAGTATGATTTAGTTACATGCCCCTGACTGCTCCTTTGCGCGCATTTCATTATTTCCAAAAAATTGTTCGCAAAATATCCAATAAATAAAGAAGACGAAAACTGTGATTCAAATAAATATCTTCAGACAATAAGGAGAAGTTCCGACGTAATATTTCTAGACCTGTCGATAAATGTTACACAATTTGTAGGTAAGGTAAGAACATGATTGTACTCTCAGCTGTCAGCAAAAATATCAACTACCACTACACATAACAACCTTCCACGAAACGGAGGCTGAATTTAACAATAGGTACATGTCGGATTAGAAAGAGGAAGCAGCTCCATCTGACAGGTCAAAGAGTTGTTTATGTTTCCCTTGTCACGTGCAGGTAAACGATAAACGTACACAATCCGAACAAACTCAGCCTTGGTGCAAGTGAGCACGTAGTAACTCTACCGCGATTCAGTTTCATCCAAGCGTAAGGGGTTTACTAAAATTCGTTCTCGGTGTCATATCACCACACGTGTGTCTATCTTATTCTTATGATCTTGCATATTATGTAGGAAATTATGTATTTACTTATTTTATTAAAGTTTTTAATTAATTTTTAGTTTATATTATTAAATTAAATTAAATTGAAATTTTACGTGAATTTTTAAGCACCCGATGTTAATACCTTCTCACAAATTTACTAATCACTCCAGTATTAAATTAAATGTGTGGTATTATATTTTTGCTCTATATCTAATAATAACAGGAATATTTACTGTAACCAAGAAAAACTAGATATGATTTTAATTTATGGAGAGTGCCGAAAGAACGCTAAAGCTGCCAAGTATTTATACCAACATCGTTTTCCCCAGAGACAACTTCCATCAGCTAAAATTTTCGGAAAGTTAGCCAGGATTTGGCGGGGATCGACGTTATGTCAGGTCTACACTGACGCGAACAGTGTTAGCTAACTATGCTCACTAACAATATTTGCGAACAATGTAATAACAATTGGAAACTACAGGGCTGTTAGGTTACAAATGCACGATCACTTGTGGAAATTCAAACTTTGTCAACTCCTTCAAAACTTTTGCGAACAGTTTTTAACATTATCCTTGTTGTTGTGGACGCAAAGTAGTCTGCTAACATTGTTCATAAACACTATTAACGAACCGAATTAGTTAATATTGTTCTGGTCGGTGTAGAGTGATCTTAGTTTTCTTTGCGAACAGTGCTATAAGGATGCAAATATCAGTATGATTATAGTGAAAATTGAAACTTTGCAGACATTGTTTCTAAACACTGTTAGCGAACAAAGTTAATTAACATTGTTTTCGTTATGCCACGTCTAAACTAACGCGAACAGTGTTGGCTAAATATGTTCACTAACAATATTTGCGAACAATGTAATAACAATTACAAACTACAGGGCTGTTAAGATGCAAATGCACGATAGTTGGTCAACTACCTATGTCAAAACTTTTACGAACAGTTATTAACATTATCCTTGTTATTGTGGACGCAAAGTAGTCTGCATTTTATTGGCAAACAGTGTTATTGGGTTGCAAAAAATGATATGAATATGAAAGTAAAAATTTCAACTTTGCCAACATTGTTCATAAATACTGTTCGTAAGCATTGTTCACGAACAATTAGTTAAACATTGTTCTATTCAGTGTGGAGAATTAGAGTTCTAGAGTACTCTAGTACTCTAGATTTTGTTAGCGAATTAGGAGGCGTGTGTTAGTGCGAATGTGAGTAGTAGAATTTTGTTGGCGAACAGTGTTATTAAATTGTAAATGTTATTATGAATGTTCGAGAAAGAATTAAATTTCATTATCATTGTTCATAAACATTGTTTGCGTACAGAGTTAGTTAATATTTTTCTCGTCAGTCTGTTAAATGTTAATACGATGACTGTGAAAATTCAAACTTTGCTGACGTAGTTCGTGAACATTGTTGGCGAACACAGTTAGTTAACATTGTTTTCGTTAGCGTGGAGACTCATTAACGAACAGTGCCAATACGTTAAAAAATAGTCTATAAATGTTAGTAAAAATTGAAACTATGTTAACATTGTTCGTAAACATTGTTAGCGAACATTGCGTTGTTCGCGTTAGTGTGGACCTGGAGTTATACGTGATTTCTATCGCCCTGTACGTCGCAAATAAAACATTTTCGATCTCGCGTGCAAAGGGATTTCTCTTTTTTCTTTGCAATACACTCTTTCTGTACCGCATAGCACATCGAACGGATTTCATAATCGCTGGGAGTAATTAAACAGTAATTACAACTGGCAAATAAATAGCATAAAAAGCGGCTGTTGCCTTACCAGTTTCCCCTTTCGCCTCGGTTCCCGAGTCGTCCCAACTCCTTATTTCGCTCAACGTGACGGTGCTCATGTAGTTTTTTAACGGTTCCACGTCCTTGGACATCTGCGACTCATTGGAACTCGTCTGCCGGCTGAAATAAACAAGTAGGAAAGGAGAGTATTCTCGGGAATATCTACTAGGGGCTTACCTGTAATTTGACATTGGGAAGTTTTGGTGAGGCTCTTGATCCTGGATATCTAAATAAAAATAATTAAAATTGTAATTACACTGTTTCCTTTAAAGGTATATTTCTTGCTAAGAAACTGTTGCTCCTAATTTCGTTTATCAGTGGAGTTGAAATTAACTTTTAAACAATTTTTTATGCATTTACAAATTTAAATGCCTTTTTGTTAAAACCGGTTGGCCTTAGACATATACAGGGTGAGTCAGAAAGAATGGGTCAACACTAAACTGGAGATACTAGACACCAAAATATTATGTTTGAGCTCATCATGCATTATACGAATGCCGCTGGTTTAAGAAATACAGGGTGTTCAAAGTTTAAATTTTATTCTGATATTTCTAAATAATTCAGAAAATTTTGATAGCATGACTCTGAAAATTGGTAGTGTTGGGTTTTTTGGTGTGAGAATTACGAATTTGAAGCTTATTTTGACGTTGCTCCTAAAGGGCGCTAGTTTCACGGTATTATTTAGATAAATCAGAACATATTTTTTTTATCTGTTGAGCTATGCTAAAATTCTAAAAAAACATTCAATTCTACATAAAAGATGTACTCTTGTTTAAGTCGCCTAACTTTATCGGTTTCTGAGTAATTTGCATTGAAAAGTTTCAATGTATTTTGTGGTGATTTTTTATTCTCAAAAGATGAAAATAACAATAACAATTATTGATAATAGTAATAATAACAAACCGTAAATCAAATGCTGGAAGTGTCCACCACCTACCTCAGTACATTTAATTATACACTCTTAAATGTCTTTGAATATTAAACAAAATGTCCCTATTATTTTTAAATGCATTCGCGGCTACTTGTATTTTCTGCCGCAACTCCTCAACAGAATTAATTTCTTCCCGATACACCACATCCTTCAAGTTTGACCATACTGAGAAGTCCAGAGGGTTTAAGTCTGGACTTCTCGGTGGCCAACAAAATTCACTCCCACGGCCAATCCACCGATGAGGAAAATGTTCATTTAAATACTGGCGTACCGGCAAGGCAAAATGTGGTGGCGCACCGTCGTGCATAAACCACATACTTTCTCTTAAAGCGAGTGGTACATCATCTAGAAGCTCGTTTAAATTATGTTGAAGAAAGTTTAAATAATGAGGTCCAGTTAGATTGGGTGATAATTCAAAAGGTCCTATGAAAAAACCAGAAATTAAACCACACCAAATATTCACCTTAAACTCATGCTGAAAATGTTTTTCTTTTACAGCATGCGGATTTTCGGAATCCCACAAATGATTGTTCTTCCAATTGAAAACTCCCCGTCTAGTAAATGTCGCCTCATCGGTAAATAGAATCCTATTGAGGAAATCTGGGTTTTCCATTTGCATATTTTGTACAAACTGAGCAAATTGTAGGCGAGCTGGTAAATCTTGAGGCAATAACTGCTGAACCGGAGTATAATGATATGGATGGAGCATTTCTTTTTTCAAAATTCTACAAATGGACGATTGGCTTACCCCCGTTGCCGCACTTAACCGACGAGTACTCATACCGGAGTTTTCTGAAACACGAATTAAAATTTCCTCTTCTTCATCGACTGTGATCNTTTTTTCTCATCAATCCACATTCTGTTTTACACTCATTTTATATTACTTTTCAGTCATTACTTTTCCTTTGTACCTTGGTTGTTCATTCATGTTTACGGAATTCGCGCAAAGTTGACAGTAATGACAGTTGACCCAACTTTTACCACCACGCCATGGCAATGTTGCCAGATTTCATCCATAATTTTACAAGCTCGTAATGAATAAATAGACGCTTTTATTCAAATAAAAAGTGAACTGACGTGTATTAAACACGAAAAAAATATGCAAGCTAATATGTGTTGTATAAATTTCATTCTAAATAGCATACTTAGTTCGCTGAAATTAATTTATGTAAGGTTGGTACTGCAACAAGACTCCCGTGTATAAACATAGGCATACTCTCCGCACCGCCCGCCCCGTAAGAGGTGTATCGAGCGTCCTTAAATGCATTCGCGGTTATTTTTATTTTTTGCCGCAACACCTCAACAGAATTAATTTCTTCACGATACACCACATCCAGAGGGTTTAAGTCTGGACTTCTTGGTGGCCAACTAAATTCATTCATACGGCCAATCCACCAGTGAGGAAAAAGTTCATTTAAATACTGGCGTACTGGCAAGGCAAAATGTGGTGGTGTTCCGTCGTGCACAAACCACATACTCTCTCTTAAAGCGAGTGGTACATTATCTAGAAGCTCGTTTAAATTATGTTGAAGAAAATTTAAATAATGAGGTCCAGTTAGATTGGGTGGCAATTCAAAAGGTCCTATGAAAAAAAAAACAGAAATTAAACCACACCAAATATTCAGCTTGAACTCATGCTGAAAATCTCTTTCTTTTACAGCATGCGGAATCTCACAAATGACTGTTCTTCCAATTGAAAACTCCTCGTCTAGTAAATGTCGCCTCATCAGTAAATAAAATCTTATTGAGGAAATCTGGGTTTTTCGTTTGCATATTTTGTAGAAACTGAGCAAATTCTAGGCGAGCTGGTAAATCTTGAGACAATAACTGCCGAACCGGAGTATAATGACATGGATGGAGCATTTCTTTTTTCAAAATTCTACAAATGGACGATTGGCTTACCCCCGTTGCCGCACTTAACAGACGCGTACGAGTAGTAAAATTTTCTCTTCTTCATTGACTGTGATAGATTTTGGAGAACCATGGTTACTTTTTGGTCGAAAAGATCCAGATCCGCCTAAGCGATTGTATAGATTTCTGAATAGTTTATAATTAGGTAATCTATTTGGGTACAATTGCACATATCTTCGGTCCGCCAAATGTTCATTAAAATTAGACTGAACAAAAACACAAATCATATCATGCATCTCACTGTTGAAAAAATTATTATGTTACGGCATTTTTTGATCACTAGCTAATAATTTTGCACGAATAATAAATCACACGTACGCAAAATACGTTAATATTTATTGACATGAAAATTTGAAATTTTACACAATCCTACTTACAAAAGAAATAGCAATATCAGCGCCTGAAAAAAAATTACCACAAAATACATTGAAACTTTTAAATGCAAATAACTCAGAAACCGATAAAGTTAGGCGACCTAAACAAGAGTATATTTTTAATGTAGAATTTAACGTAATTTTACATTTTTAGCTTTTTTAAAGCACAGATAAAAAAAATATGTTCTGATTTACCTAAATAATATGGTGAAACTAGCGCCCTCTAGGAGCAACGTCAAAATAAGCTTCAAATTCGTAATTCTCACACCATAAAACCCAACACTACCAATTTTCAGAGTCATGCTATCAAAAATTTCTATATTATTGAGAAATATCAGAAATTTAAACTTTGAACACCCTGTATTTCTTAAACCAGCGACATTCGTATAATGCATGATGAGCTCAAACATAAATTTTGGTGTCTAGTATCTCCAGTTTAGTGTTGACCCATTATTTCTGACTCACCCTGTTTGTTAGCAAGGTATTTAAGCAGAAAAGTTGGAGGAAAAGATTTTTCCAGCCCAATGTGAAATACACCGTAGCACAAAAAAGTTTAAATGCGTCCTAATGGTCGCTTGTGGCGCCTTCTAGAAGATACAACAAAATCGTCGATAAATTGGAATTTCTCATTCCAAAGAAAACCCCGGATACGAAATTAGCTCGAAGTGGTCATAAGGTATTAAAGAAAATGTTATTTATTGTTTCAACTTTGACACCTTGTTGCACCGTTATTATAAATTTTTGGACTTATGCGAATGCGAATGCGAACATCTGTTGTTGACATTCGCGAATGCAAATGCGAATACGAATATTCAATTTAATTAATAAATTAATAATTAATATTTTCGGTGACAGCGGCGCTAGAGGCTAAAGAAATTAACGTGTTAAGTTGGTACAACGGTATTTTTGTATGATTGGAATTTTGTTTTGTTTTCGCTACCGGCTCAGATGAGTTTGTGAATTGTGAGGTTAGACTGTTGTTAGTTATTTCTTAACATGAGCAAATCAACTTCTAGTGAAATATGGACTTATTTTACGATTTGCGGTGCTGAACAAACCTAATATTGTTTTCACATTATGTATTTTTCTTTCACGTTCATATTCGCAAAATATTCATAGATATTTGCGAATGCGAATGCGAATATCATAAATCAAACGAATATTCGCGAAGGCGAATGCGAATGCGGATATTCGTTACATCACTAATATGTACATATTACTACTTCCCACCTCAAAAATTGACATTTTGATTTTAAAATTTGTATTAGGACATTATTTGAGGTTATAAACGGATTTGTTATATAAAAATGTTGTATAAAATAATAAATAATGGTACTTCTCTCTTGAGTATTTTCGTGTATTGTTAATTTATGAGCACCCTGTATATCTAATCTAAGATGTTCGTATGGCAGTCTCATTTTTTCGAGGAGCACAACTTTTTATAAAGAGTGACATTTTTCGATAAAGTCAAAAACAAAAGAGTTTCTCCTTTTGTCAACTCCATCCGTGGACACACTGTATATACATTATTAATAAACTTTATTGTACTTAAATTCTCAAATTTTTACTAAATTATTGTATTAAAAAAGTAAAAAATCAAAAAATCTTTAAAATTGTTTATTAACGATTTTTTGCATAAAATTTTCCTTTTACATTTTTTAAATAAACCATTTCGATGAGAAATTCAATTCTCTACAAAATTTTTCCTATGAACTATTCCGAAATTTTATTTCGATTTAGTGCTATATTTAAAAAACTGCAAATGTGCATATTCACCCCTATCTTCAATTTCAACCTTCTAATTTAATAGCACCCCATGTTTTTTTCATTTTTAATGACCCTTCGAACAAGTCAAGTGATGAAAATTCTTGAACGCCTTATTTCCTTCCTTTTTTGCAAAAAATGATCATTAAAACGTATAAGGGTAAACGCGACGAAAATCAAAAAATTGGCTAAGTGAGCAGCCATGTATCAGTTAATTTTCATCTAAAAATACTTTACAACCTCTTGTTTTGAAGGAAATTTTATCTACTTTTTTTTCTATGAAGCAATGCCTATACCTATCTTTACTCAAAAAAAAAAAACTAGAGACAAAAAAGTAAAAAAATCAGAAAATCGAAGTCAGATCAGATCAGTTTCAGATTGTTTATTAACGATTTTTTCATAAAATTTTCCTTTTAATTTTTTTAAATAAGCTATTTCGATGGAAAATTCAATTCTCTAAATAATTTTCCCTATGAACTATAGCGAAATTTTGCTTCGTTTTCGAGCTATAATTAAAAAACTGAAAGGGGTGCATTTTCACCCCTATTTCCAATTTGCACCCAATTTAATATTACTCCGCGTTTTTTTCATCCAAAAAGACTCTTTCAACGATGCATGCAATAAAATTGCTTGAACGTCATAGTTCCGTTTAACCCTGTTTTTTGGATATAATCAATAATCTATAAGGCATGTTTAGTTAAATTGACTTATTTTGAACCGTACTATGGAGCGTTGTGGTGTATAGTGGTGTGTATTTTTTTGTCAGTGTGAGATTTTTGGTTGAGCAAAATCATAAAAATAGCCCTTGACTGACATTTTGCAGAATTATATTTTTTCACAAATGGCAAAATATCCAAATAAATAGAGAGAAAATATATTTCTTGAAGCTTTTGACGGAGATATACAGTATGTCCGGGGATTGAGCTCTTGTGGCCGTAGTAACCAATAAAGTAACCTATGGCTGAAATTTCGAAAAAAAAACGAAAAATTGAAAACGAAGGGAAGAAAATCGACTTTTGTCTTAGTACAACTAAGACAAAAGTCGATTTTCTGAACGACCTTAGGGTCTCCCATCTATGATTAAAAGGTTATCCATTATTTACCGGACACCCGATATATCTACCCATTTAAATAGAATAAAGCGGTTTGGAGTTATTTTTTATTTCCTAATTTGGATGCCCTCTAGCGATCAAACGAAACAACTTTAGATATGGTTAAGTTTAATTTCTTATTTTGATCCCAAGAATATATGGTAGTTTCCACATACACAGAATATTGAGGTACGCAGAATAAACAATTCATTTTTCCCACTAATGTTTAAAATATTTACTTTTTTACAATTGAGCATTAATGCGAAAGAAATATATTTTACACATTTTTTACGTAGCATTTTACACATAACAGTGGTTAAAAATCATTTATCTGAAAAGGGCAGTACAGTGGTAAACACAAAAGTTAATTCTTTTTTCAAAATTATCCAAGAAGATTTTGCAAATTGAAAATAAAAATAAATAAAGACCAATCTAAAGGGACCTTTTAAGTAATAAGGTGAAAAAGCCTATGGACGATCTTTACTCCGAAACAACACAAAGTAAAAAATATATACAGTGTGTTGCCGGATAGATGAAACGAGTCTTGTAAAAGGTAAAAAAAATCGGATTCAACACTACTTGGTTAAATACAAATTTCTGAAATAATTTCAATTTAAAAAAATTGGATTTGTTGGAAATTTTCAGAAAACGTATATTTCTGTAAAGTACCTTTTATATGGCAAATACGACAAAAAGTTATTAAGAAAAGTTGTTTAGAATCAACATCTAGACCCCTACACCAAAAATCAAAATTCCTCGGACAACTATGATTTTCATTTTTTTCCAAGATAGTAGCTTTTCAGTAATAGACACGTCAAAAAGTTATTCAAAAAAGTTACTTGAAATCAAAATCTAGATCCGTATCCCAAATTTAAAAATTATTTCGCACATTTTCTTTGATATCCCAAATCAAAGCATTTCATTTTTAAGAGACTGCTATGCCAAAAACAAAATTGTATCCATAACAATTTTAATCTGTCACACTTTACATTCAAACACTACTTTATTAAACTTAAACTGTTTCTTAAACACAATGTTAACATTAGAGGAAAAAAATTACTTGACTCAGTGTTATGGAGCTTGATAAATATGGTTAGGTATTACTTTATTTAGTGAAAAATATCCAAATACTGCAATTAACAAAAGTACTGCTTAGCGATTAATCAAGATAGTTTTACAACAGGAAGAAGAAAGCGAACAAACTGATGCAGGTACTTTAGTTGTTTTAAATTCAGTAGATGCAGATCTCAAAATGTTACTACTAAACTAAGAAAACGAAGTGTAAATACAAACATAAGTAAAACACATTTACAAAGGATTTTTAAAGCAAATAGGCATTTATCCGTATAAAGCCAAATTTTGCCGCACTTTGGAGGAAAGTGACGAAGCAAGGCGATTGCAGTTTTATTTGTCTTTGGGGAAACTAATTTTGGGAAACAGAAATTTTCTTAAACTAATAATAATTTTCGGGTTCAGCCCTACTTGGTTAAAGACTAATTTCCAAAATAATTTCAGTTTTGAAAAATCAGACGTGTTGGAAATTTTCAAAAAACCTATTTTTCTGTAAAGTGCATTTTTTATGTGGCAAATGCGACAAAAATTTATTAAGAAAAGTTGTTTAGAATCATCAGCTAAGCCCCTAAACCAAATTTCAAAATCCTCGGCCTGAAAAAAAGTTAACGACTTCTAATGGCTTATTACTTACACTTACTTATGGTTCATTGATATTTTATTACTTAAAATTTATGTTGTTGATTTATTTTGAAAGAAGCACCCTGTATTTTTTATTCCTTCATCAAATTATGTAAATTTGAACTCTCATTTCGGTTGATATTTTTGAAGAAAATAACGTTTGTATAATTTTAAAAAATAGTCCGAAACCATATATGTAATTAACTAGCTTCAGTAGCAACAGTGACTGTTGCTACTCTCATTTAAATGCTTTGTGCCACCCCGTAACTAGAAAATTTTAATAAGAAACTTACTTTCAAATGCACCTTATTTCACACAACCACAAACTACACTAAACAACCCCTGTTTTCTGGTGCGTATATTTTTAGTCCAATAATATATTTATACGAGAAAACGACAGTGAGATATGAATATTATATAACATAATTAGACTTTCATTGCTTCCTTATAATTGAGACAATTTCGGGATAATTATGGGACTATATCGAAATGTACTAGAAACTAAAAGGAATACTTTCAATATTGCATGCAACCCGAATCAAGTTTCCCTTGTGTAATTTACCTATTAGAGAGTTTTTTTTTTAGGAAAAAGTTGGTGCCCAAATAAACAGAAAGCCAATCAAAGAACGTCTAAAAATATTTAATTAAACAGAGTTCCACATTTTTATTTTCGCTTTTTCGTTTAAAAAATTCGCCTATGTTTCGAATAGCCACAATATTTCAGCAAGAGAAGCCTTTAAACTAAACTTTTTACGGATCTTTCCAAAAATTCTTACGAGACTCTGCAGACGTCGCGACTATCACCAAGGTCGTCCTAGAGACATCCACGACGATGCAGACAAGCGCGCGATCGAGTGCTACGCGTCTAGAAACCACGAAGAAGAAGAATATAAAAATCACTGATGTTTCGAAATTTTTATCGAAGTTTCTATCTAAATTTCACCCACCGAATCACCCAGATGAGAAGATTGCCGCCGTTCAAAAGATTCTGGAACTAAACCGGATCGTACAACAGGCCGCCTAACGGAATTCACCCAGCCAGTCTGCCAATACCAATCCAGGGTTCCCGCAGTTATTTAACCAGCGCGTAGAGACCTGGCCAGAGTGTATACTCGACCAACACTTAAGAATTCGTATCGCCATTGCATTGCCCGCCTATGTATAACTTTTTAAAAAGCATCAATAAAGCTTGGGGCGAAGCATTTGCAGGGTCACCACTAAATATGCCAGTAGTGAAGAACGGCGAAACGTTTGAAAGCATTGGATGGGACCAGTCGCAGAGGCTACTACGGAACGTCTCAGAGGATTACAATTACATGAGCAGCTGTTCTGTCCGCAGCGACCGAAATGAATATAAGGGTAGATCTAGAAGTTCTAATAGCTGGTTCGCCCCCACGGAGCCTAGCGCGAGAACAACAAGGAAGGTACCTTAAAACCACTAAGCAAAAATAGTTTAACCAATACTTTCGACGCAAGAGTACATTAAATTATTTTTAAAATTGCTATCTAAGCTTCTGCTTCCCTACAGTAAGTTCCAACTTTCAGAAATGATCTAAAATTACCGTGTGTACTTTCCGTACTGGAATTTCTTCGTTGAACCTTGTTCCACACCCTTTTCTCCTCGTCGGAACTGCTATCCTCGTCCCTGTGCTTCCTGGACATCCTGACGCTCCTGTTACGCACGAAACGCGTTTCTACTGGTAAAATATATTTGGGGATGCTCTTAAAAAACCAAGCGCCAGACTTTTTCCATATCTCCCTAGTCTCGGCGCATATCATGCACAACCAATTTTCCTTGGAATTACTGCAAAAAAAACAAGCAAATTCGTTTTAGTGAAACTCTCGGTAAGTCGATATGCCTCTATACTTTCACATAGCTCTGTATCTCAACAACCAAAGATTTTTTAACATTCTATTACCCCCTAAATTTTGTTCGTTTCTTTCAGTGTACACAACTTTTGTACGGATCGGATTTCCCATAAATGATTTATAAAAACAAGGAGCAATTTTTTTATTCTCGTTATATTTAAAGATAGATTAAGCTTATACATACGTGTCCCAAAAGTATAAAAACAGCACAATAACTTTCGAAATATGCATTTTGAGGAAAAATGATTCAGACAAACGATTTAGGATTTTTCCCTGGCTATTCAAAGGTTTGATTTGACACTAAATTTGACCTTGACCTTGACCTTCAAGGTTATTTCAAGGTCAAGTTAATTTTTTCAATTGGGTTGTCCTACTTTTGACCCCAAAAATGAAAAGAGCGGAAAATTTTACGTTCAGATATGTCCTTGACCATTTTCCAAGATGGCGGACGCGATTATAAAAAATTAACCGATTTACGCCAAATTTGGTATAGGGGGGTTTTTGGGGTCGCTGACGACGAATCTGAAATCTGTTTTTGAGGAATTTTAGTCCAAGATGGCGGATACAAGATGGCGGACACGATTTCAAAAATCAACCGATTTTTGCCAAAATTGATATAGTGCGGTTTTTGAAGGTGAAGGTCACGGTCAAATCAAGGGTCACCGTCAGATAGCCAGGTAAAAATCCTACAACGTTAGTTATGGTCATTTTTTTTGCAACCCGTTGTTTTCAAGACAGCGCGCCAAACCATGCGTGACCTTGATTTGACCTTTAATAACCATCAGAGGTCAAATTCGGAAAATGGTCAAGGACATATCTGAACGTAAAATTTGCCGCTCTTTTCATTTCCGGGGTCAAAAGTAGGGCATCCCACTTGAAAAAATTAACTTGACCTTGAAATAACCTTGAAAGTCAAGGTCAAAGTTAAATCTAGTCACCATTGAATAGCCAGGGAAAAATCCTAAATCTTTTGTCTGAATCATTTTTCCTCAAAATGCATTTTTCGAAAGTTATTGTGCTGTTTCCATACTTTTGGGACACTCTGTATAATATTTTGCATGAACAAATACGTATGTGAGGTAAATGAAGGGTTTTGTGTACCTTATGAAATATTTATCACCTAATTTACAACAATTTTAACATTACGGTTGAACGAGCTTGAACGCTGGTCCTATCTAAACTGAAGTTTATGTTCGATGCATTATTAATTATGAAACATAAACATTATTTAAGAAACAAGATTTAGGAATATCTTAAGAGGATAGTAGAAGATATTATTACTTTATAAGCATCAAACACGTTATTAAACTTTGAATAGTTATTCTGACCGCTTTGTGTGAACACAAAAATTCTCCTTCGATATACAAGGCGTTGGAATATTTTACTGACAAAACTGTACGCGTGATTCTCTGAACAGAAATAAGAAAAGATTATGAACGTAAGTACACAAACTTTATGTGTTTGAAACTGTTAGTTACCTGTTGTACATTGGAAAAATGTCAATGGAGTATGTTAATAAATTTACTTGCCGTGTTATTATTTTCTCCTTAATATGTAAGTAAGGACATTACAGAGAGACAGGGTGGTAAGTTTCATATATACTTTTGCTAATTTTCATTTATTGTTTTCTTAAGATGGTCTAGTCAGATTTATGAGTGTGAGCAATTACATCCACTTGACAACAGCTACAATCGAAGTCCAGTCAGTTTTGGCCTTAGCTAATAAAAAAAAATTGTTTCGATTATTACATAGCCCAATAAAACACGGAAATGTATTAAATAATCTTAAATACTTTCGCTAATTTCTTTCAATCAGCATTTATTCATTACAATAATCTGTTTATGACCAATATAATTCAATAACCTAGTTAATTTTTACTTCAAATAAATTCAAAGATTTTTTCTGAAAAATCCTAACAAATGTTGTTCAATGTTGTTCTATGCCAAAAATGTAGGTGTGCAAAAGATATTTAAACTTATACAGAAGATTCTTAGCCGGTCCTTAATTTCTTCAAAGCAACATTTTTTGAAGACAGTAAATCTGCTATAGATTAGAATATTTCGAAAATCTTGTAAGGAAAGGTCAGGTTGATATACAGGGTGAGTCATTAATAATGGTACACAGCTTAATGGCAGATTGTTAACATCAAAATATAGCGATTGAACCAAACATGCCTTAGTCAATTGTTGCTCCTTTTCGTTCAACAGTGTTAAAGTTGAAAAAATATTTTCGATTTTTTGCTATATTTTCAGTATGTATGGACCAATAGTTTCGTAGTTTTTCATTTTTTGAGGTGACAAATACGAATATGCAAACAGTGTTGGGGTCACGTCTAGGGGGTGCTACTTATACTGTATCAATGTAAAAATATAGTCAATTTTTTGTATATTACAATTTTGAATTATTTAACTAGACATTATTGAACTAGGTTCAATTCTAAATAAAAAAAGGTATACTTGTTACAAATCGATAAACTCAACCGCTTTCGTGATACAGACGTTTTAGGGTTTTGAGATTCGGCGGGAATTAAATTAGAAAATTAGAAGGTTATAAGATATCAAGCCTGAATTAAGAATTAAAACAAACATTACAGCAACTGAAATTTTTTTATGCATATTTTAACAAATTATTGATCACAAAAAATTTTCAAAGCAACCACCAGCGACTTCAATGTATTTATTTAAATTGTGTCTGATGTTAAATAAAGTTCTATGTTTGATAATATGAACAGATTCTTTGCATATTTATCCACAGTTGTTCTTGACTATTAATAATGTATTTGTAGAAATTTAAGATAGCCCCAAAAGAAAAACCCAGCGGATTTAAATCAGGGATACGTGCAGGCCAAGGTACTTCGCTACCGTGTCCAATCCATACTTGCTTAAAATATAGGAAAAAATCGAAAATATTTTTTCAACTTTAACACCCTGTAGAACGAAACGGAGCAAAAATTGATTAAGGCAAGTTTGGCTCAACCATTATATTTTGACGTTAACAATCTGCCATTAAGCTATGTACCATTATTAATGACTCACCGACATTAAAAAAGTTTCTGATAAATCTAATCCTGTTTTGTTATTACAAAAATTATTTTTCCACAGCTAGACACTAAATTTTACTTATTTTCCAGTCTTATCAAGACAGTAAATGATCAGTACCATAGAACCACGTCTGTTGAGGCCTCTTGTTTAATTCACTTATAAATGACATCAGCCTAAATACTAACAACATTAGATTGATGTAAGCTGACGGCTAATTCTAAGAAATTTCGAAAACGTCGATGACAGTTTGGAATTGCAATCTGTTCTAATAAAGATTAACTCATAGTATAAAGCTTCTTCTTACCACTTATTATCGAAAAATGTTTTTATATGTTTTCTAAACAGACCAATGTTACCTGTATTTAATTATTCATATAAAATTGAAGCCATATTTTTGACAAAATATATCAAATTCAAGTTTTTAGGTGTTACATTCACATTTTACCAATAGCTGTGTGTTTGAATTATAACTGTTTTCAATATACCCTTGACATCCGCTCCAGTAGTATAAAGAAGTGTATTCTAGATGCAAATTAAATCGAATATGTAAGAGGTGTCCTAGAATTCACGAAAGAAGTAATTTTGGTAGAAAACACAGGCTTTTAATAAAAAAAAATGACCGTTTTGCATAAATGCGGCTAAATTTCGTTGATACGGTGCTTATTTTCCTTCTTCAAGGCGTGGGTGGTCTTGGGATTGTTGGCATAAATCTTAGACTTCCAAACACACATGTCGCCTGCATCCATATCTTGCAATTTAGGCACAAAAAAACTGGATTATTATGTCGCGATAACGAGCACCATTCACTGTTATTACCTGACCAGCCGCATTTTCGAAGAAGAATGATGTGCTGATGCCTCCAACCCAAAATCCGCACCAAACAGTGACACGTTATGGATGCATTTGTTTCTCAACAATCACTGGCGAATTTCCTGAACCACAAAAATGCGACAATTTTGTCAATTAACGAAGCCATCAAGATGAAATTGAGCCTCATCGCTGAAGAAGATTTTGTTTGAAAAATCACTATCCACTCGCTGTTGTTCCATAATCCATTCAACCATGGGCGCAGACACCTGATATACAGGGTGTTAGAAGTTTTAACAGACGATAGAATACAATCAAATAAACGGGGGTCCTAAACTCGACCATTTACGCGAAAAAAAATCTAAATCTCTAACTTTATGTAATTATGGAATATTGACATAACTGCAAACATAGAATACCATAAAATACAATGTTTATCACTTTTTGAACTTCTTTATGCTTAATTCTAAAAAATAATTTGTAATAAATTTAAAATTCGATAAAATTCATATCGAGCAATGTGACGACAATGGCGCGGCGGATAACGCGAGGTACTAAGTTGCCCAGCATTACGCAATTCAGTTGGTATCTGGAATTGGACCGTGTCCGAGTGTTTATTGCGTAACACTATTTCGTTTTCTTGAGGTGTTTTCCAGCTAGTGCGCGAAAATTGGATTCGAAACTCCCCAATATTAATACTCGCCGTATTTGGAAAACTGTTAATCTTAAGCCCCTGGTGTGGGATTGTTTACAAGTGCTGACTGAACTGGCCACCAACAATACAGTCAGACTGTGTTGGGTGCCAGGGCACAAAGGCATTTGTGGAAATGAGAAAGCGGATGAACTTGCTAGGAAGGGATCCGAGACAGAGTTCATTGGCCCGGAGCCCTTCTGCACATCTCCCAGTGTGGTCAGACGGGCTCTGGGCAANAATAGAATATAAATAGAAATAGAAAAGAAATGTAAGAAGTAATTTAAAACCATATAAATAAAAATCGTTCATATTAAGATAAGAATATTTATTTCTTTTTGAAAAATTCATGTGTATTAAAAAAATTTATGGCATTTGTGTGTTTATTGAAAATAC